CGGCACCGCCCCTCCCCCCTCCTCCGCCCCCCAATGAGGAGCTCAGGGGGCTGGGGGAAGAAGGCACTCAGCATGGCCAGCTGCCGTTCTAGAGCCACTAATTAGCACCATGGCTTAGAGGACAGCCAGGCCATTCTGGAGTGGTCTCATCCAAAAGCAGCCTCATTCTAGAGCAATGGGCATGGGTGCTTGAGCAGTCTAGAGCCAGGCATGGGGCTTCTGAGGTGTTCTGGATCTCCTTTCTGCGGTTTTCTAGAGCAAGACACTGCGGTGCTGCACCATGCATCCAGACTGCCACCATGGTCCAACTCCTGGTGTCCAAGTAGAAACACACTCCAGAGGAAGGTGCTCCCTTGCAGAGTCCTTCTAGGGCAGCACACACATGTCAACGCCTGGAGGGCTCCAGGAGAACCTGCATGAACAGACTGCATCATTCCTAAAGCACCATAGCCTGCATCCCCCACCCGGGAAATGGTCTAGAGCAGCTCAGCCCCAATACTGTGGCTCTGCGGCACACTGAAGCAATGTACACAGGTAGTGCATCGCTCCTGAATGAAATTGCCTGTCCTCTGCTGCTCCAAAGTGATGCCTCTAAAATCCTGTAGTGTCATGGGGCAGCCAGCCCAAAGACTGATGTTCCAGAGCAGGAGTGGCCAGCAACTGGTGTGGGTAGCCTGTGTGCGTGTGGCACGTGGAAGACTGAGTAAGGGGCAGGCAGCACAGCAGCAGATAAGGCAGAGAGCTGAAAGCAAAGCAGCAGATTGGGTAGGGCCATGGGAGCAGAGCGCAGAGCACCCAATCAGGCAGGGGAACATGATCAGAGTGGCACTCAGGGAGGATGTGCTAATTTGTGGCACACCTGCCAAAACGGTTGGCCCCCACTGGTCTCATGTGAGCAACCCAGACCCAGTGGGAATCTGGCTGAGCACCTCAGTCCTGCACTGTTCTAGGCTACACCTCCAACCCTCACATCTTTCTACAAGTCATGCTATGATACACTGCATATGTCTAATACCATGGATTCTCTAGAGCAGTGGGGGGACCAACCTTTTTGGCAGGTGTGCTACAAATTAGCCCCATGCTGTCCCCGTGTGACACTCTGATCCCCTTCCTTTGCCCAATCTGCTGCTCCAATTTTTGCTCTTGACTCTGTGCTTGCTGCTTGATCTGCTGCTCTGCTTTCCATTTTCTGCCCTGTGTCTGTGCTGAAGTGTCCTTCTGCCTGATCTTCTGTTCTGCATTCTGCTCCTTATCCTACCTGCTGCTATGCTGCCTGTCCTCCCCCACAATTTGCCACATGCCCCACACGGACGCTGCCCACACTCGTGGCATCCATGACAAAGTTTGGCCAACTCTGCTCTAGAACAGCAATTCAGGTAACAGCTGTGCTCTAGTCCACTACCTCCAGGCAGAGCAGCCCATCCAATTCTGTGAATAGTGATGAACACTACAGAGTCCTGGAGCCACATAGATGTACTACAGCCTTCGAGACCAAGAGCAACAGTCCTAAAGTACTGCAGCCTTCTAGAGCTGCAGCCCAGAATACTGCAGCCTTCTAGAGCAACGATCCTCAAACACTGCTGGAGTCTGCAGCAACAATGCAAAATACTGCACCTGTTGAGACCAATGACCCCCAATGGTGCACCTTTCTAGAGCAATGTCCCTGAAACACTGACATGTTCTAGAGTGGAAATAAAACACACAGAAGCATCCTAGGGCAGTGGTAAATAATACTGCAGCCTGCTAAAGCAACCATTCTTAGATACTCCTGCACTCTAGAACAATTACTAGAATACTGAAGGCTTTTAGAGCATCAACCCTATCATACTATAGCCTTCTGGAGAAGTCTCTAAAAATACTATGGCCTTTTACAGCAATGATCCATACCGCTGTAGTATTCTAAAACAACCACCTTAAATACTGCTGTGGTCTACAGCAAGGGTCCAAAATGCTGTATGATTTGAGAGAAAATGCCCTGAAATGCCGAGGTGCCCTCAAGCAGAATGGTGGCATTCTAGAATGGGAGCGAGAAGCATGGCCTCCAAGTCAACTTCTTGGGCTTCAAATGCTGGAGGCTGCAAGTGTGAGAGGAACAGAGGAAAAAACCTTGGCTATGCCTTGCTCACTCTTGATTTCAGCCCCTGCTGTCTGGCCCTGCATGACACAGGAGACTGGGCAAGACGAACCTATGGGCTTGATCCACTAAATGACAGCTATTAGATTTTCAACTTTTATTCATTTGTGAATCCCAAAAAAATGTCCAATGGAGGTGTGGACCACTTTGAATTGTAAGTCTTGGGTATTCACGTACTTTTAAATGATCATAATCATCTTTCACAGACCCCTGAAACAGTCTGCAGACCCCCAGGAGTCTGTAGATCACAGGTTAAAAACCACTGTTCTACAGCAACAACTCCAAGCAGAGCTGTATTTTAGTGAAACAATTCCAATACACAGCAGGAAGTTCAAGTAACCCCAAACACTGCAGAATAATACTGGGGTGGGGAATCACCCTAATATTTCACAGTGTTCAAGAGCCATGAGGCTAACACATGCCATTCATTTCTAGAGCAAAATCCCCACACCCTGCTGCATTCTAGAGCAATGAGCTAAAAGGCTACTGGACTGAAAGGTTGTGGTGTTCTAGAGCAGTTGTTCTCAACCTTTTTTTGTACCAGGACCCATTCGTAAACATTGATGGCCAGTCCCAACCCAGTGCCCCTCATTCCTGACTCACTGCCTCCCACCCCCAGGCCCCAGCCCCTCAGTGTGTGGGGTGGAGGGGGAGCTACGGGAGGCCCCAAGCAGCCCCTTGAAGGCTGGAACTCTGCTATCCTGCAAGGGAAAAGCCACCGTTTCCCATGTTTTTCTCCTTTAAAAGAGAATCCATTTTTAAAGTTTGTTGATCCATTTTTTAAAGTTTGTTTGTGACCCTTTCATATATTCTTGTGACTCACTTTTGGGTCGTGACCCACAGGTTGAGAAACATTGATCTAAAGGAAACACTACACATACACTACTGACCTTTAAGTCCACATGCAACAACACTGTGGAATCACAACACTAAAAAAATCATGATTTTTGGGAGTGCTGACTTAACAGCTGGCATTACTCTAGAGCAGTGGCTTTCAACCTGTGGTCTGTGGACCCTGGGATCTGCGAAAGATGACTATGATCAATCAAAAGTATATCAATACCCACACTTACAGTTCGAAGGGGTCTGCACCTCCATTCAAAATTTCCAAAGGCATCCGCAAATGAAAAAAGGTTGAAAACCATTGATCTAGAGGTACAAGCACTTCAGTAATGTGATAGCCCCTAGTATGCTGACAACTGTGTGGAGCTGGGGGAGTACTTTTATAAAATGGTGGGGTGGGGGGGCGTGGATCTTCCAGTGACGTGTAAAACCTACCTAGAGGAAAAGCCAGAGAGGACTGGAACATCAGAGCTGAAAAAAAGTCAGACCCCAAAACTGAAGCATGCCAAAAGAACAAAGTTGGCCAGGCCCAAAGTACCAGAGATCAGGGGTTACTCTTCTTCTTTTACACAGAGGAAACTGAGGCCCAGAGAGACACAGGGACCAGCCGACGGTCACACAGAGAGTGTATGTGTAAGCCAGGGAGTGAACCCCAGCATCCTGAGCCCAGGCCAAGGACTTTACCACAGCTCCTCTGCAACACTATCCTGTGGAGGTGTCAGTCTTGGGGTCTGCACCCTGGAGGGCTCCGCAAGCTAGAGGGATGCAAGGAGGGAAATCCATAATGACTGGGAGGGGATAGGGAGAGAGAAGCAATTTAAAGGAACAGCTGCCTTGGGGTTGCCATGGCAATGACACCATGAAGCTAGAAACCCCCAGCCCTACACACAGACACACGCGCATGCACATACACACACAACCCTCTCCCCTACCATGACATGAGGGGCCAGCAGAGCAGCACCCCCACCCCTGGGCCCTCATGCCCCTTTCCTGCCCCACTCCTATCTGCCTCCTTCCTCCCATCTTCTCACGCTGCGTCCCCCTCCCCATCTTCTCCCCACCCCATTCTCACCCCCACACCCCCTTCTCCTATTCTCCTTGTCATGCTACTTCCTCCCCCTGCAAAGTCCTCCACTGTTTCCCCAGCAACAGCCCTCCCACCCCTGCCCCCTGCTCCCCCCAGCCCTCCCCTGCCTCTGCCGCACAGTGGCAGGCGGGCGCTGCAACTCCAACCCTGGGCAAGCATCCGAAGGACCAGGCCCAGCATGTCGCCATGGTGACTGCTAGTGCCTGCCGTGCAGGATGGAGGCCCGGCTGCTGCACCATTGCCAGCATCCTCCCACACAGCCACACAGCTGAGGCCTGCCCACCTCCACGCAGGGAAACCGAGGCACGGGACTGCAAAGGAGCGTAGCACAGACCCAGGAGTCCTGGTTCCCAGCCCCACTGCTCTAACCCCCCAGGTCCCAGGGGGAGATAAAAGCCAGGTGTCCTGGCTCCCAGTCCCCCTGCTCTATCCCACCAGACCCCACTCCCCTCCCAGAGCTGAGGCAGAACCCAGGAGTCCTGGCTCCCACCCCCTACTCTAGCCCCCCAGGTCCCAATGTGGGGATAGAACCCAGGCATTCTGGCTTCCAACCTTACTGTTCTAATGCACTACAAAGCCCAGGAGTCCTAATCCACAGGGGACAATTCCCCCCACCCCAGCTACAGGTTCCCTGGAAAGCAAAAGGCATGGCCCTGCCCTGTTCCCCAAGGGGTGAGAGATGCCCCAGAATCAGGGTGAGGGGTACCTGGAAGTCCCACGCACAGAGATGGAGCTGGGGGAAAAGGGACAGGAGCAGGGGAGAGGGTGAGAGGGGATGAGGATAGAGGCTTGAAGTCAGGGCTTTCAGACTAGAGACTGATGTGCCAAGCGGGACGGATGGGAAGGTGGAGGGGCATGCAGTGGCTTGAACAGGAGGCACGCAGATGGCCGCGTGGGATGGACAGACAGACAGACTGCAGGGCCGGGGCCCTGGTGTGTTTGAAATCCAGTTTATTGAAGTCATTTTGAGTTCTATTTACATATCGTACAGCATACCTTCAGGGGAAAGGGAGCCCAGTGCCCCATAGGGACCCCAGTCGCCTGTCGGGCTGAAGGAAGGGGCCCAGGTGGCTACAAAGGAAAGTCTGGCAATAAAAACAGGAGCCCTATCAGTTATCAGGTTATAATGCACTCCCACCCCCACCCGCCCCTTTCCCCGCCCTACCGCAAGCCCCCAACCTACAATGCAAACTAAGAAAATAGGCATTGCCTCCCCCTCCCCCAGGTCTCCCCTCAGCATTTCTGCCAAGCTGATGCCTACCCCACAGGCTACTGGAGTCCACTGTGCACCAAGGGGGGCATAGAAAGTTAACTCCTTCATTCCCATAATCCCTAAATGCTCACCATGACCTCCCCCATTGATCCACTGGGGTTGGAGGGGCAACAGCCCTAGATTAACTCTTTCATTGCCATGTCCCCTCAACATTCTCCTGGGATGATCCTAGGGACGGGAAAGGAAAGGGCCAATCTTTTACCCCTGCACAGCCAATCACTGGCTCAGTCCATGGCTTGGGTGCACCCAGAAGCCTTGCAAAACCAGGAGCTGCTACACCCAGTCTTTTCCCTACCCACCCCGCCAGATGCCACTCATTCTAGTGCAGAACAGGGCATAGCTGGGGGCAGGGGAGTTAAGGTCCTGTTAATTACTATTTCCCACCCCCATTCTTGCTTGGAAATTGTGATGCTCCTGAATTCACTCTTGCCCCAGAATCACCTGGTCCTCTAAGGGAGAGGCACAGGGTCTCTTGGCCTGACGTTCAGTCCCTTCCCTTGTTTTAACTGACCAGAGCCAGTCCCCTACCAGAGCTGGGATACAACCTAGAAGTCCTGACTCCCATCCTGTCTTGCCTTAACCCACCAGACCCCACTACTCTCCTAACTCACCTTTCTATTCTGGGTTGTATTTAATGCATAGTAGAGAACTTAATACCAAAGGAGGAGGTTGACAGGACTCCTGGGTTCATCATGCTAATCAGACTGCCCTCCTCCACACCATCTCCCCACCACTTTCCTTGCCCCTCTTTTCCAGGCACAGAAAAGTTAAAACCCCAGAGGGATTCCTGCATTACTGTGCCCATTGCAGAGGGAGATGGGATGGGGGGGCGGGGAGGTGAGTTGTCACCTTGGGGGCTATTAGATATGGGTTGAAGTTCACCTGAAAGAGGGAAGCACCTGGGTTTGGACCTCCAGGTCTGGGTTCCCCTAAGGGGGAGGGCAGGATTGGAAGCCTGGATCAGCAACACAAAAATACAAATCCAGGCCTACTGCCTTTTGTGCTAGAAAGAGCCCTGCCACCAGGTGGCAGCAGTAGGAGGCTGTTATCTCCTGTGTGGACCAGCCACAAGGAAGGACAGGGGAGAGAAGTGGCCTGTGGCAGGTCACAAGGCCTACAGCTGCTCAGAAAATGAGGACAAGCAGGAATAGCCCAATGTAGCATCACCCCCAGACTTTGACAGGGCCGAGGCCAAATCCTGATCTCAGCTCTGCTAGGTCCATCTGGAGTCAATCTGGAGTCACTCCCCCCTGCTCTCCAACTCTTGACAGCTGGATAGACTGCAGCTGAGTCTGAGAAGAGGGACTGTGAGGATAGAGACCCATTGCTCTGTCAACAGGAGGAGCAGGTACTCTTCCAGGCCCCTCTCCTCCTGCTGCCCCTCCAGAACTCTCCCCCACCTCATGCCCCAACCCCATCCCCTTCCAGAAACCCTTCCCCATGCTGTCCCACACAGGAATGCTGTCTCCATTGCAGTCTCCCCATGTATCATAACCCCGCAACTGCTACCAGCAGAAAATGGGGGAGGAATTGTCCCCTGGCCTGGCAAGGAGAGATGTTTTTGGAGTAAGAGAATCTGAGTCCCTGAGGCTGTGGGGTGTTGGGAAACTCACAGTGCCAGAAGCCCCCTACACTGGTTTGAAGAGCTGGAATTTCCATCTGGGGCACTGCAATGAGGAAGCTCACAGCATAAGAAACTTCCAGGTTGCTACTATTGTGGGGAAGCTCACCACATCAGAGAACATGTGTGCAGATAACCTTGCCAGAGGAGTCCAGGAAAGATACACTGACTTCACCCACCTATGTCAGGGCATTAGGGACAGGATTAGCAGTGCCTGGACAGCAGGGGGTCCTGCACAGGCCCAGCTGGGGTACATGTTGACCCCCTACCTGCCCCTGCTGCCCTACCCCTAGTGCCCCAGGCCATATCCTTATAACCCCTTGCACTCCTCCCCCCATCCCTCTCCCCTCCTTTTTCTTTTGCTCTCCTTTATATCACCTTCTCTCCCTTGGGCTCTCTCTCCTCCACAGGCTGTATTTCCACCTTCCTCTGCTGCTACAAAGGCAACATGCTCCTCCTTCACTCACACAGTCACTGCAGTGAAAGAAATTCCAGCCTGGGAGACCCCTTCCCCCCTCTTCCCACTACCAATATGGGGAAATGACTAAGACAGAAAGAAAAAAAAAAAGGAAGAATGTCCAGAAATTGGTATGAAAACAAATGGCAAAGAAAGAACGAATGAAAAAGAAAGCAGAAGAGAAAATGCAGAGAGAGGAAAAAAAGACAAAAGAAGGAAAGAACTTGCACATTTTGCAACAGAGCAGTGAAAGAAAGAAAATGCAGAGGAAGGAAAAATGAATGAACAAATGAATGAATGAAAGAAGCTGGAAAAGAATCAGAAAAAAGAAACAGAAAAAGGAGGACACAGAAGCAGAGCCCAGAGGCAGCCATTCTGCAAGTGGCTTACAATGGCCATCACCGGCAGCCCAGGGCCCTGTGAACACCCACATGGAGGAGTTGTGGCTGCAGGGCACACACTTCACAATAAAGTCTTGGCTTCTTTAAATGTTCTTCAGCATCAGGAAGACATAGAAAAGGGGCCGGGACCCGGAGTCTGTGCTCAGAGGAGTGGGTGGTCTCGTACGATGAGGCATTGTTGGCCAAAAGACACATTTGCTTTAGGCCTCTCCTTGGCATCTGTTTCCATCCCCCTCAGCCCCATAATTTGTCTCTTGTTTCAAGTTTCTTTTCATGCGGAAAAAAGTTGCCCACTGCTCTTTGCTCCCAGTCTACTCTGGGTTCACACTTGTAGCTGCAGCTTTCCCAACATCCACCCCAGAGGCTGCAGTTTGCTTAGGAAACAAAAAAGGTGTTGGTGGGGAACTGGGAAATGAGGGTAAGGGACTTGCGGGGCAACACAGAAAATGGCTAATACACAACTTCCTGTTGGGAGTCGACCACTGTGGGGTGAGTGGCAAGATGCTGGCAGAATTACTGCCTGTCAGGACCTGGGAGAAATGGCCTGTCAGGATCCAGGAAAGGGAAGGGGACACTGATGCAATAGCCACCAGAATGGCAGGTGAGCAGTTTTCTGTCAGGGGTGGCCATTGAGCAACAGATGAAATGATAAAGGGAGATACGATACGAGGGAAAGGGACTAGTGTGACAAAAGAAGAACAGTGGAGAAGTAGCTTCCTGTCAGGGTAGGCTGTTATGAGGCAAACAAAGATGGCAGGACAGCCACTCCCTGCCAGAATCCATGGCTGTCTCAGTGACAACCAAAATGGCTGACAGGGTGACTTTTCTGTCAGGATCTGTGACAGTTCTCCTATGACAACCAAAATGGCTGACAGGGAGACTTCCTGTCAGATGTCTGCCTGTCTTCCCACAACAACCAAAATAGCTGTTGGAGCAAATTCCTGTCAGGATTCCCACCATCTTCCCACAACAAACAATACGACTGTTAGGATTCCTGCCACATTGGGGCAGACGGGGTAAACCTCTCCCCTCCTCCACCCAACATCTCCCTGCAACTGGGAGACACCTCCCAGGATGGTGTGGAGGCAATGACAAAGGGGAGCCATCTCGATGCAGTGACTATCACTGCATCGCCCAGCTGGGGATGGGCAGGGGGCAGTTTGGGGGTTGGGGGCAGCCAGCAGTCTCTGGGGACGGCCCAATAGGCAGTCTAGCAGGGCGAGGTGGATATGTGCATGTGGTCAGGGTACTTGATGGCAGGCGGGTAGTTCTGGGTCATCTGGATGGAGACGTCACTGGAGATGTCAGAGGGGCTGCGCCCACGGTGCCAGGCCTCAGGGTGCAGGAACTGGCCTGAGTAGTCAGAGCAGTCGCTGAGGCGTGGGCGGTAGAAGGCTGGATGTGGACGGTACATCTCCTCCTCCGCGTACCGCTTGGTGAACAAGTACACAGACATCACACCGGCACCCTGCGAGGGGACACAACATTAAGAGAAGTGGGGAAGGAGTGGGGCCAGAGGAGAAGGAGACAATACGGTGTTGCAGCCTCCACGCCATACACTGCTAGGTCCCATTTTTGGCAAACCCTTTTCTGGCCCCTCTTCCATGGTCCCTCTTCAACCCCAAGCAGAGCTCAAACCCTAGTCCTATGACTCCAGGCTCCAAGCAAAGGGATCCTGGAGTGGTGGGCTGGCCACCAGGGGAAGCCACAGCTACCAGAGGAAGCCACCCACCAGGGGTCAGCCACAGAACCCCAGCAGTTTGAATCTCTGTCCCTTACCTCCATCTCCATGTGGAGATGGAGGTATCTCCACAGGGAGGGTTCCCCCCACCCCATTCCTTCAGCCTTGGTTAAGGCTCATTAATTCTAACTCATAATTAGGGGGGAACAAAAGTGTGACTTCCCAAACTGGCCAAAATCACTGAAGTCACAGGTCATTTAGGAATGACCAGGAGTCCCAGTTCCTATCATCCTCATACTAAGCCACAAGATCTCCAAGTTCCCTCCTAGAGCTGGGAGCCATCTACCCCTTTTCCACCCTGGTCCCTGGTAGGATAGCACTGGGTTGAGCCCATGTGTGTGTGTGCGTGCATACGTGCTCCACTGGCCTCTGCATGAAGCCATCTGCCCTGTATCTGAACCCTGATGCAACACCCATACAGGGGGGATTCTCCCTCACTCACACTGTAGTCCCAGGGGCAGGAGTTCAGGTCTCAAGGGAGGCAGCACACGCCTGGAAGGGGCTTGCAAGGGTAGACATAACTTTTTGGGGTGCTAGGGCACAAACCTCTTTGAGGAGGAAGGAGGAGGCGGCAAAGGCAAAGGACCAGCCATAGCGGTAGTGGAAGTACTGCTCAGACCCGCTGGGGCGGTTCATCACCTCATCGTTGATGCTGGAGATGTAAAGAACCAGGCCAACCACCAGTGACAGACCTGTGGGAGACCAGGCACAGTCAGCTCCTGGGCCACAGCTGCCTCTGGGTTGCTTAAACAGGGAACCCTCGCAGGGCACCAATGCATAAGGTGCTTAGATGCAGCCACCTCTGGGGTGGGACATATCAGGAGCTGATTATTACACAGGGACCCCTCAGCCAGCAGTGAGTTGCAACCGCCTCTGGGATGCAGTGTTATTTAACAGTAACATGAAAGAATTGATGGAAATTTCAGACAGGAAGTCAAAGTGAATTCTGCACCAAACCAAAAGTTTAGGTGGGATTTTAGAAGACACTAGCCTGAAAAAAAGGAGCACCCCCTCCCCTCACCATGCTGCCAGGAATGAAGAAGTAGCCTAGTATCTCCTTTTCCTCCCCTGCCCTGCTCCCCATGGTGCTTCACACCAAAACGCCCAACCCACTCCCCTTAGTATAACATCCCCCTCAAAAAAGCCCTCAGCCCCCTTCCTGCTCCCTCACCAGAGAGGATGAAGAAGATTCCCGAGACGAAGGCCAGGATGGTTCTTTGGGGCCGGATGTGTCCGATGTTGCTGATGACGAAGGCCGTGAAGACGAGGAAGAGGCTGACCATGGGGAAGGGTGTGGCCGTACGAACAGTCTCTGGGGGACCAGACATGGTCAGATGGGACCCCACAGAGTCCCAGCCCCTGTCTCCCAGCACACCCTGACCATCAAGACAGACTAAAGGCAGCCTCATGGGAGCCCCATATCCCCCACACACCCTGACACATGCACGCGCACACACATCATTTGTCCAGAGACACATACACACTAGTTTCATCGCTGCCCTAAACGCCACAAACACCTCCCAAACACACATGCACACACCAGTTCCTAAGATACTCAGACACTTTACTGGTGCCCTAAAATCCACACACACTTCACCAACACCCCAATACACACACAGCCCCCTTAGAATCATGGCTGCCCCTGAGTCCCACACACATCACCCCCCAACATCCTGCAGGCACCCCAAAATGAGCCAGACACATTCACACCTCCCAATGACAGGCCCACCCCCACTGGTTGTGAGAAGAAGAACCCCATCCAACCCCCCCTGCATCCCAGTAGGAGTTACCTTGACTTCCCTGTTGTACATACCTCTACTGTGCGCCACACCCCTATCATCCCTTTGACACCCATGCATCTACACATGCCTATGCATACTCCTGCCCCCACCACCTCTCAGTACAGCCACACTTTGATATACATGTACCCCTACAGGTACAGCTCCTTCAGTACCTACCCCCAATGCACACCAACAGCACCCCAACACAGAGATACTTCCTACCACAAGCACAAGCTGCATACACACACTGATCATCTCCAAGCGCCTGAGAATGCAGGTGGCAAACACAGACCATTGCTGCAGGCTCACCCTGAAAGCGCAAAGGGGGTCAGCTCTAACTGCATCCAGTAGGGGGTGGTATGGCACACACATCTACATGCACACGAACACATGCACACACATGCTCTCTCTCTCACACAAACACACACAGCATATCCCCTCTCCCCCCTTCCACACTGCTCCATGGTTAGGTCACTGCACCCCCAGGCCACAAATCTACCCCCAAAACCCTTTTTCTGCCTGCTGATGGCTCCCAGAGTCTGTTGGCTGAATTTTAACTAAGCACTGCTCTGTACCACTCCCAGCTCCAAGCATGGCACAGCCTATTAGCCTGGTTGGGTCACAGCTGAAACACTGTTCTCCCCATGTGCAACCTCTTACTTGAACACATTGCTTGCTGCCCCCCACTCCCCAAACACCTTTCCGCCCAGGGTGGTGTAAAGGGTGCTACACTTACTCAGGATGTTCTCTGTGTTTTCAGTCACCAGATTGACTTCAGGCTCCAGGAAGTACTCGGATGCCACACATCGGCCCTTCTCCCGACCTGCGGTGGAAGAGAGAGAGGTCATGAGGCAGGCATCAGGGGTTCACAGCTGGGACACTACCATACAGAAGCCTGGGTTCTAAAAAGTCCCTAGCTAAGGGCACTACTGTGGGGAGACCTGCAGCATGGTAGCCCCCAGCTAGGTACCGCTGGAGGGAAGCTCACAGCACCAGAGTCCTTGCCTGGGTACTGTTGGGGAAGACTGCAGTGCTGGAGCCAGTGGCTGGCCACTGTTGTGGAGAAGCTCACAGCCATGAGAGTCCCTGGCTGGGGGACACTGCTGTAAAGAGGATCATAACACCAGAAATTCCCTGCTGGGGACATTGCTGTAGTGAACCTTTCAATGCCAGGAAGTACCCAATGGTGATAATCCCAGAAAGGAAGCTCACAACACCAGGGAATCCCCAGCAGATGCACTGCTGGGGGGGGAAGTCACAGCACTAGTGGGGAGTCTCTGGCTGGGGGCACTGCTGGGGGGAAGCTCACAGCACACACCAGCAAAGAAGCAGACCCTCCAGAGCCCAGCATGCAGCGCCATCTTGATCTCAGTGGTCTGGTTCTGCTGCAGCACGATGCCCTCCTCCATGTACAGCCAGTAGTCGGTGCTGACGGCGATGCCCACGAGCAGGAGCCCGCACGCCCCAAACACGCTACTGAGCAGCGTCAGCGCCCGACTGCTACAGTTACTCATCCTAGGGGCCGGGGGGCGCCGAGCGCAGCACAAGGACCTGGGGGTGTAGAGCATGACTGTCACCACCCTGCTGGGGCCCCTGCCCTCCCACAGCTGGGATGCAACCCAGGAGTCCTGGCCCCCAGCCCCCTGCTCCAACCCAGCAGCCCCCACTCCCCTCCTGGAACTGGGATGGAACCCAGGAGTCCTGGCCCCTAGTACGCCTCATTGTGACTGGCCTCCCCAGCCTCACGATGCAGCGTGCAGGGGGCTTGGGGGGGCAGGAGGGGGAAGGTTGTAGGGAGGTTGGAGAGGCTGTGGGCACAGGCAGGGGTCTCGCAGCTCCTCAGCTGGGTTCAAAACAAACCAGTGATCCCAGGAGACCCCACAACAGTCCCCTACACAACCTGAGACACCTGCCCCCACACCCTAGTCACACCGCCTGACACATTTCCAGGCCCTGCCCCAACACGGCAGTGGTCCCCAGGGACCCTATGACAACAGCCCACGTGACCGGCGAAGCCTGGCCATCACACGCCAGCCACCCTGGGACATCCTGCCTCCATACACCAGCCATGCCCAGAGCCTTGCTCAGTCCACGGCCCTGTGGGCTCCCCCCACCTCTATGCTCTGCACTCGGTCTGTGCAGTCTCCTGCATCCTGTGTCCACCTCCCCCACCCCCCATACCATACAAGCAAGTGCCTCCCCAAGGCAGACAGGCCCTGGGGTGTCCTCATACCTACCGATTCCCTTGCCCCACGCACCATGCAATCCCCACCCCGACATGGCCCCTGGACCATCCTGGTTGCTGGCCCCTTTATCCTGCCACCAGGGTCCCCCTGTCCAACCCCCTCTCCGCAGGATCTCCCCCCACACTCACACCAGGCCAGTTCCCCCCTTACCCCTCACGCCGAATCCCTCAACCATCGCACAGGACCCCCCCACTCCCTCCACCGCGCAGCCTCCTTACCATCACCTGGAGGGATCCCTCCCCTCCCCCCTACATCACCACAGCGCAGCATCCTCCTGCCCACCAGCATAGGATCCTCCCGCATTGTGCAGTCCTTGTCCCCACCCCCGCCACCCCAAACCCCTCAGCCTCGCATCCCGTATTGTAGGACAGCAGGCCCCAGACACCCCCCAGCCCACGCATGGACAGCACAACAACACCCAGCACCACAGTTACAGCCCACCGCGGCACAATGCACACAGGCCGCACTGCTGGCACCCACTCCCAGCACCCACTGCATTACAACGCATGGACTGGCCACTGCCAGCGCTCACAAACACGACAACACAGAGGCAGACACACGGGGACACGTCCCGCGCTACATCACAACACACAGGGGCAGCATCCATGTGCAACAGACACTAAAATACAGCCCGCACCGCATAGCAGGGGGGAGTGTGACAGCACACTGTCACACCACACATGCTGCTTCACAAACACAGCGCGCTGACAACATGCACTTGCACAACACACATCCTGCCAGAACACACCAGTCACTCAGAGACACCTTGCTGAGACACAAAGTCCAGTGATGACAACACACACTAACAACAGAAATAAACCCACGCCAACACAACACACAAGCCTAACACAAACACACCCAGTATACAATGAGAGTAAATACACTAGTACAATACACCCACACACATGCCAACACAACACATCCAGGATGGAATCACACACACACACACACAGAGGCATGGAAGGAACTTAAAGATAGATACAGCACTAACAAAAAATGGACACAACACACAACCTACTGGATACAACAAAACTAAATAATGCAGAGGGACATGAACACAGGAACACAACACACACAATAACCACACACCGTACTGCACATAGCACACACAAATACACAATGTCACACATTAGCACAACACACAAAGGCACACTACCAAAGCAAGCACACAATATCCCAAGCACAACAGCACTGAACAATATATACAATCCCACACAATTTACCTAAGAGAGCTGCACAAACTAAACACACACAGGGGCGCCAAAGAACACATAATAGCACAAGACACAGATACAGTCTACTGTGCATAATAGCTGCAAGCAACATACACACACACAATGAACTGTATACAGCAAGACTAGATACTGCATGCGCACACACATTCAGGGGCACTAAAGAACACCCCATGAACCAACACAACACCTTCACTCATACAAAGCATACACAGTATACTGTATATAGCAGCTGCAAGCAAGGCATTCTCTCTCTCTCCCTCCCTCTTTATATCTACCCTTGCATTAGAAAATGGGTTGGGAAAAAATGCAGAATATAAGTCACCTGCAAGCCTCAGGGACAGAACAGCACAAAGCGGCCTAGTGAGGACTGATGGACACACAGGCATACACACACAGCAGGGGACAGCACTACATATACATAGTTACACATACACACACACAGATCTACACAAACATAAGCACATAGCAGACTACATGCCAGGAGTCAGTCTCCCTCTAGCGCACAAGCACACACAGAATTACACGCTGACCTCTCCTCTGTACCTATATGTGTACACAATAACACATGTTGTGTCACGCTCTCGTGCACATGGTCACACACAGTTCCCTCTTATGTCAAAAACATGTACACCATCACATAAGTTTTGTGGCACACACACATGAACATGGTCACATATGTACGTACAAGCACACAGAGATATGCACTGTGACACATACATCTCTCCCACTGATACATATATAGTCACACATGCAAATGCAGAGCCACACAGAGACTCACACAGTTCTTTCACATACATGTGTGCACATGTGAGGACACAGTCTCTCACACAACTTTTCTTTCATACATGAACCTCCCAACACAGGAAAGCCAGCACACCTATATATGCACCCTCACTTGCAGACACACACCAACTCAAACACACATGTACACACATATGCTTTTGCATTTGCACATATATATACACACACTCATGTATGTATGACTGTACACCAACATGCATTTGTTTGCATGCTCTCAACGCACATGGATACCCACAAAGATACACTTCTGTGCACTCTCAAACAGATGCACAGTCACACACATGCAGCCAGGTGCATGGAAGCATGTGCACTTGCAATGGCACATATGCAGATGCACATCCACATGCTTGCACACCCACACATATCTATACACTCACATATACAGGTGCAAGTGCACACATACTTGCACAAACACACTCCCCACACATGTGCCTACAAGCTCCCAAACAGGCTTGCACACATCCACACTGTGGCACATTTACACACTCCCACACCCATGCTTGCACACTTACACACCTTCACACCCATGCACTCTCACAGCTACCCAAACACACACCCATCCATGCTCCCGCACACCCATGCTTACATGTATCCACACTCTTACACATCTGTACACACATCCACGCTCCCACACATCCACTGGTATACATGTACTTGTACACATCCAGGCTCTCTCACATATATACACACAAGTCCTCTTGCACACAGACATTCACATACCACCAGGATTACACACACGAGCACACCACCAGGCTTATACACTCCTGCACTCTTGCGCGCACACACGCACACACACACAACCAGACTTGCAGTCCTGCACTCTTGCGCACATACACAACCAGGCTCACAGACTCCTGGACTCTTGCATGCACACACACACACATACAGCCCGGGTCGCACACACCTGCACTCGTGCACACACCCGTACACACTCATAGCTAGGCTCTCACGCGCGCGCGCGCACACATACAACCAGACTCGCGCGCGCACACGTACACACACACACACCCGGCTCGCATACACCTGCATTCTTGCACGCACAAACACACCGGCTCGCGCGCGCACACGCCCGCCCGCGCCCCTGCCCCTGCGCGGGGCTCACCGGACACTCAGACGCGGG